GGGGGGGCATGTGTCCTCCCCAGCCCCCCAGGCAGTTGGTTAAGAGGTGCCCGGTTCCCTCCCTTGTTGCCCTGACATCTGCAGTGTGGTTGGGGTGAGACCTGCCCAGAGTCCCAAGTGGCTGATGGGAGACAAAAGAGAGAAGGAGGCAGCTGGCAGGGGAGCCCTGGGTGTTTACTTTGCTGTCAGGTTACTCAGCCTTAGCATGTCCAGTGTGCTAAGTGCTGTGGGCTCTTGAAGTGCCTGGCTTTCCACTTGCTTGCAGTTATTTAAAAAAAAAAAATGAAATGTAGGCAGAACAGGGGAAACCTCTCCCAACACAACAGCTATGTGCCACCCACCGGACATGCATGTGCTTGCAACATGCTCACACGTGTAACATATGCATGTGTGTCTTAGCCCCTTGCTTCAGCGCAGAATGCGAATATCAGAGCAGTGTTTCAGGTATAACCAGGACTGGGCTGGTGCTAGGAGGCCCCTTAATAGTTATAGTAGTGCTTGGAAGTGGCCCTGTGCCTGAGCTACTTGCACTAGTGTTAGTAAATGCATGTCTTCCCCCTTCTCCCCCCCCCAATACTTTCTTTCAAATGATTAAGGGTTTGAAGGCCATGAACCTTCTTTCCATGAATTCCCATTCACCGTTCTTACATAATGAATCATATTTGGAGTACAGTGCAGCATTAATACTTGAACATAAGAAACACAGAACAAGTAATCCAAATACCTTTTTTGCAAACTAGGAAATATGAGCTCCAAGCCTCTGAAGTTTTGATGGAATATTGCTTGCAGGCACACCTGTGAAAGCCCCAGATAAGGCTCACTTCCACTCCGTGTGGGTCCATTTGCGGATTTCAGCCTCTGTGACAGCCTTTCAAGGGTGTATCTTGCATGGGGGGCAATGGAACACCCTGTCTGTGCAGAGATGTGTTTGTGCTTGGTGCTGTGCAAAACTAGAGAGCCAGACTGTGTTCGCAGTTTAGAAATAATATTAAGGCTAGGACAAAGTTTCTCAGGTCCTGGATCATATCTTGCGTCCTGTATTTTGCTTAATATCCGTTGGATGCAAACCTGTCCTTTTGATTCTGCATAGCAGTGAGTACATTGTTGTGGTCTAAGAATCGAGACAGAAGTGTAAAGGGGGCTGGGAGAATTAGGGTTGTGACTGAAAGACTTTATGTGGCTTGTTACTCCCCCAAATTGAAAGGGGAAAGGACCACATTGCCTTCCGGACCTTTTCCGCCTTTCCATCAAGGCCCATTGTATGTTTTGCACTGTTTCATATTCAGTTTGGTTTTTATGTTGGTGTATACTTTGTCTTCAGGTTGCTGTAGGTTTTACATTGACAGTGAAGACTATAGAAGTTGTCAGGGATGAGATCTGAGGCTTTGGCAGCTGAGTTGGTGGCAGCTGGAGCTTTTGATACTCAGAGGCAGACAGGTGAACTAATTTGCTGGGGTGTTTTGGGTATGCAGAAAGGTCTCTAAGGCTCTTCATATTTAGGAAATGATTGTTTTCCTCTTTCCTTCTCAGGCAGAGGTGGGGAGAAACACCTTTCAAACCTTTCTCCCCACAACAACCCTGGACAGCAACCTGCTGTCTCATCGCATGTCAGTATCTGCAGCAAGTAACTCGTGACATTTTAACTAATTGGATGTTTCTGTCATCTTTAACATTATGTAGGTTTCAGCAGCAACTTCTAGGATAGCCTTATAACTCACTGAGTTATTCCAGGTTACTTGCTATGGGTATGGGAAAAATATTATGTTTTTCAGGCAGAATTTCGTATGTTTGTGACTAAATTTCAGTTGTTAGGGAGAAGAAACCACAAGAACTTCTGCTGCCTGAATCTCTAAGCTTTGATGTTTTTACAGCTTTTAACTTCCTGAAGATTCAGTTGAGAGAGATGCTGCTGTTCAGTATGGAAAAGGTAGCCTCATGTATTAAACAGTGAGTTAGTTCATGAGAATAAGGTTCTTGTAAATCTATCTCACTTGGTTATTCTAGTCAATCTCTGCAGTAGAATCATTGGTTTTGACTTGTGTCTTGAATATATTAGGACATGGTGTTAGATTGTACTGAGCAGTTGCTTCTGTAGAAAAAGATAATGTTGCAGTTTTCCAAGAAACTTTCTGTTTTATTCCCCGCTCCTGAAAGTATGTTTCTTGGAATATCAGTGAATTGCCACGGCACATGGAAGTGGTTAGATCATACCACACTGAAATAGAATGGAAGTTGAAGAAACTGAGCTACTTGTGCTAGTGTCAGTAAATGCATCTCTTGCTCCTCCCCCCCAAATACTTTCTTTCAAATGATTAAGGGTTTGAAGGCCATGAACCTTCTTTCCATGAATTCCCATTCATCGTTCTTACATAATGAATCATATTTGGAGTACAGTACAGCATTAATACTTGAACATAAGAAACACTGAACAAGTAATCCAAATACCTTTTTTGCAAACTAGGAAATACGAGCTCCAAGCCTCTGAAGTTTTTATGGAATATTGCTTGCAGGCACACATGTGAAAGCCCCAGATAACATGGAATGGAAGTGAGCCTTCTCATAAGGGGTTTGGTGTCTTATTTGATAAGAGATGCCTTTTCTTAAAAAGTTCTTCCCAAAGGGCTACATTGCCTCTATGAGGGCTTGTGTTGATTACCAAACTTGTACTAGCAGACAGCACTCACATAGGGAAGCCTCCAGGACATGTGCCCACCTGTGCAGCTCCTGCTGGAACCGCACCGCTTCACTGCTGCAGCTGGGAGAAGACCTGCTGGGTGGTGGGAGAAGCCAGTTTCTGACTGCAGCGCCAGAGTTCCTCTGCCATTGGAAGGAAGGTGTTCTGTTGCAACTGTGAGTGTAGATATATTCAGTCCTGCTGACAAAGCTATGTAGTGTGGATGAAGCCTGAAAGAGTTAGAAAGATGTAAGTAGGACCCCCAAAAAACAAACATCTACAACAACACTCTTTTACGGCCAGATGCTACAATCTCTGTTTTCTCTAAGAAAATCCTTGGATCACAATGAAGTTGCCAAAGAGTTTAATTACTTAATTGCAAAATGAGGCCTGCAGTAATTATGTACTCTTCTTGCAGAACTCATTGACTTCTGTAACTTCTGTTTAAGTGGAAGGTAAGGACATAGCATCCATTAAGATCCTATCAAGATATTGTAACTCACATTTTCATTAAACTTATTTAAACTGATTTAAAGGAATACAGTGCACTCAGAAAGGCCTGCAATTTGTATCTTGTGAAAAAAAACCCCCAAAGGAATATTTCTACAGCAGCAGAATAAAACTGCATGTGGTTTAAAATCTGAAACTTAAGTTTCCCAGTGCTGAGAACATGAAAACAACCAGAAGTACAAGTGAGATGTTATACTTCATTTTCATTATGGCGAGTGGTAAATAAACAGCAATCAACACAATATTTTTAAGAGTCGAACATATGTCATTATTAAGATGAGTAGTTGATTTACACCATACGGCTTAGAGTTTCTAAAACACTTGCCTAAATGCAAGCTTGCAAGCCTGTACTATGATGTCTAAGTAAAACTCGAATCCTGTAAAGACCAGTATCTTCTCAGCTTTATGTGTACTGTACAAATAATCTCATTGATGTATGAAGGTTTTGTAGGGTAGGGTTTTTTGAGAAGCTTATCTGTGGACTTTGAAGTCTTTCTTTTGACAAATCTTAGCCAGGATTTTAAAGTGGGTCATAAGCCTTCAAATCTGTTTGAAGAAATATCTTGCTTTGGTGAGGTAAAGAATCTCTCTTTATACCGAGTATGCTGGTCACTGCTGGTCCACAGCTTGCTGGTTCGTGGTCACTTCTGGTCAGCAGCTTGCCGGTCCTCAGCATAAAAAGGTTGGGAACCTCCGGGTTAGATAACTGAAAGCTTATCCATATCTCCCCTAAGTACACAACTGTTTTAGTAAAAGATAACGCCTGGAATTCTTGCTTCTTGCATGTTTCCTGAGCCATCGCAGTTACATTATAGCCCAGACTCTGTTGCTACTGTCATTTCTTGAACTCTTCCTAGTTTGGTGCCTGTCATCATTCAGATTCTGAGAAATCAGTTGGTATTTTGCTTTGCTCTAGGTATCCCTTCACGTCTTTTAAAGACACTTCAGAAGCAGACATGTTCTCACTGTATAGCAGCTGCCTCAACTTTCACGTAGCCGTGGACCGTACATGGCTAGTTCAATGTAGCCAAGCCCTCACAATTAACATGCCAATTGTCATGCAACTAATGAATTGCAAAATTCCAGTGTGTGTGGCTGTGTTACACCAGTTAACATAAAGCAAGATACGCAGGAGCCTTTGACGTATTCCTTCTCCATATAATCCAAGTTCGTAAATCCATGTGGCAGAGTTGACAGTATTGCTGCTGTAGATTTTCAGCGCAGTGGGGCATTTGATTTCCCCTGGTGACTTTGCATCAGCTTAGTGAGCCCCTGAAAGCAGTATTAGCTTTCTTGGATACAAAAGCTCATCTGCTCATCCGTACAGACATAGCTGGTAAGGTTGCTTCTGAATGATATTGGTCAGTCTATTTCCTATCATTAGGAAGGTCTGACATCCAGGGAGCTGGGTGATATATGATCAGAGTTGTTTTCGGGTTTATGGTTTGACTAAAGCTGGAAACAGACACCAGAGTTGTTTGTGAACAGCTGAAGGTTGTACCCATGCGCTGTGAAAGCACAAGCTCCAATTTGGACAGAATGGAGTGAAAGACTTTTCAGTGTCCTGTCAACTTCTACTGCCGTCCCAGTTACTGTTCATGTTGATATGGAATAGAAAAACAAATTCCAAACTCTCAGTTTTTGTGTTCAGGTACTACCAAGATTAGTTTGTTAACACTTTGACTTCTGCTTGGAAGTAAAAAGGAGAGCCCACCAAAACCTGCTAGCCCACCTCAACTTAGTGATCATCTGGATGGAATATTTGTCTGTTAAGTACAGGCCAGATTTCTATAGATGCAGGACCACTTGGATACCAAGGTAGAAGAGCTGCACCATGTGTGGCAGGGCAGCGCAGGACTCCAAACTATCCATGGGCCAGCTTGTGATGTCATATGCTCTGTGATTTCTGTTGAGAGAGAATGCAGCACTTTCAGGGAGCTGCTTGACAAGGTATTAAGTGGTGTTGAATATGTGCACAAGATTTTGCAAGAGGGCAGTACTTGAGGTGTGGGAGACTCAGATTTGTTGTCGTCTTGTGTGACAGGTTTGACATGCCACCTTTCAGTAGAGTGCCTTACCTACCA